CGAGGTCCGTACGTAATATATATATATATATATATATATATAAATTTATATTTATATTTATATAATGATGATTCATAGTACAATTGCGTACTTTTGATGATTATAGTCATCTCCAGTGACCCTATCATAGATCTACTAGTAATAAGATTGATCCTGAAACAGTGTCTGATATTATCATGGTCAATGTCGCTGTTTATACGAACTCAAGTTCCATTTTCTCACCAGGAAACCATGCCTTTGAGGTCATCCGTACTGCAAACCAGCAGTACCAAGGAGTCGACTTCTTCGCCATCGAGGCGAAGTTGCCAGCTGACGGCCTGTCTGCCACTTCCGAGTGGTGCAGGGATTACCAGAACCTGTGTGCTGAGTACGGACTGAGGCCGACGGGATGTGGAGCGGACCAGACAGGCCCCAACTATAGGGGGTAGGACGTGTGACATTCAGGACAGTCATAGTGCATGCTGGGTAACCCTGTCATAATGCACACTGGGTAATCATGCCATAGCCCATGCTGATTAATCATGTCATAGTGCATGCTGGGTAATCCTGTCATAGTGCACGCTGGTTAATCCTGTTAAAGTGCACGCTGGTAAATCCTGCCATAGTGTACACTGGTTAATCCTGTCATAGTGTGCACTTGTTAATCCTGTTATGGTGTAGACTGGTTAATCCTGTCATAGTGCACACTGGTTAATCCTGTCATAGTGTGCACTTGTTAATCCTGTCATAGTGCACACTGGTTAATCCTGTCATAGTGCACACTGGTTAATCCTGTCATAGTGTGCACTTGCTAATCCTGTTATGGTGTACACTGGTTAATCCTGTCATAGTGCACACTGGTTAATCCTGTCATAGTGTGCACTTGTTAATCCTGTTATGTTGTACACTGGTTAATCCTGTCATAGTGCACACTGGTTAATCCTGTCATAGTGCACACTGGTTAATCCTGTTAAAGTGTACACTGGTTATTCCTGTCATAGTGCACACTGGTTAATCCTGTCATAGTGTGCACTTGTTAATCCTGTCATAGTACACGCTGGTTAATCCTGTCATAGTGCACGCTGGTTAATCCTGTCATAGTGCACGCTGGTTAATCCTGTCATAGTGTGCCCTTCTTAATCCTGTTATGGTGTACACTGGTTAATCCTGTCATAGTGCACACTGGTTAATCCTGTCATAGTGTGCACTTGTTAATCCTACCATAGTGCACACTGGTTAATCCTGTCATAGTGCACACTGGTTAATCCTGTCATAGTGCACACTGGTTAATCCTATCATAGTGCACACTGGTTAATCCTGTCATAGTGCACACTGGTTAATCCTGTCATAGTGTGTCACTTGTTAATCCTGTTATGGTGTACACTGGTTCATCCTGTCATAGTGCACACAAGTTAATCCTGTCATGGTGCACGCTGGTTAATCCTGTCATAGTGCACGCTGGTTAATCCTGTCATAGTGTGCACTTGTTAATCCTGTTATAGTGCACACTGGTTAATCCTGCCATAGTACACACTGGTTAATCCTGTCATAGTGCACGCTGGGTAATCCTGCCATAGTGCACACTGGTTCATCCTGTCATAGTGCACACAAGTTAATCCTGTCATAGTGCACGCTGGTTAATCCTGTCATAGTACACGCTGGTTAATCCTGTCATAGTGCACGCTGGTTAATCCTGTCATAGTGCACGCTGGGTAATCCCGTCATGTTGCACGCTGGTTAATCCTGTCATATTGCACACTGGTTAATCCTTTCATAGTGCACACTTGTTAATCCTGTCATAGTGCACACAAGTTAATCCTGTCATAGTGCACACTTGTTAGTCCTGTCATAGTGCACACTTGTTAGTCCTGTCATAGTGCACACTGGTTAATCCTGTCATAGTGTACGCTGGTTAATCCCGTCATATTGCACGCTGCTTAATCCTGTCATAGTGCAACATGGTTAATCATCTCATAGTGCATGCTGGTTAATCCTGTCATAGTGCACACTGGTTAATCCTGTCATAGTGCAAACAAGTTAATCCTGTCATAGTGAACACTGGTTAATCCTGTCATAGTCTACGCTTGTTAATCCTGTCATAGTGCAGACTGGTTAATCCTGTCATAGTGCACGCTGGTTAATCCTGTCATAGTGCACACTTGTTAATCCTGTCATAGTGCACGCTGGTTAATCCTGTCATAGTGCACGATGGTTAATCCTGTCATAGTGCACACTGTTTAATCCTGTCATAGTGCACACTGGTTAATCCTGTCACAGTGCACGCTGGTTAATCCTGTTATAGTGCACACTGGTTAATCCTGTCATAGTGCACGCTGGTTAATCCTGTTATAGTGCACACTGGTTAATCCTGTGCTGTGATCTGGACTGAAGTGCAGGAACTAAAGTCAGGACTGTGCATTATTATAAGTAATGACGAAGTCATAGAATCTGATACATGTACATACATTTTAATTTCTATCATATTACATAACTCAGGTGGGATGATATTATCACAATATTATACATTTTTGGCATATATTATATTAGAAATACACGTATAGTTACATTGTAATACAGTAATAATACTTTTTTTTTTATTCATCAATAAACATACAATATACAATGTAGTGAACCATCCCATTACCTAATAATAATAATCATAATGATGAAATAATAACAATAATAATTCAAGTCATATCTGATGGTAATAAAAGTGATCATAATAATAAGTGGTCATAATAATAAGTGATCATAATAATAAGTGATTATAATAATAAGTGATCATAATAATACATGATCATGATAATAAGTGATCATAATAATAACTGATCAAAATAATTAAAATATTATTGAAATAATAATGATCATAATAACTCAACTCATAACTGATCAGAAAAACAATAATAATCATAGTAATGACAATAATAATGCAACTGATCATAATAATAACGATAATCATAATAATCAATGATCATATATTTCATATCATAATTCAAATAATGATATTGATAATGAAAACACTCAAGAACATAAGGTACCCCATTTGCCACGATGCTTCTGCAGATTTCCCCTTCTTGCAGCAATAGAATATTCTACTGTATGAAAGAAATTTACATAATTAAGAAAAGATTGAAAAGTAACATGGTAATAATACCTATTAAATTTGTAACACATTCTACAAATTGGAATTTTCATCAATTCAGATTTAGTGATGTTATCTTTCTGTTATCTTTCACACAGTAAGGTAAAGTTTGCAGTGCTTAGGGAGGGCAGACAAAGTTAATCTGCAACCACTGTTTTCTAATTTATGTTAGAAGGGGTAACAAGATAGCAATGGTTGAGATAGGGCCCCACCGCAAATAGGTGCTTAGTCATCCTGGCCAAATAAAAGAGAGTTTTAAAAAATTTAAAAAAAAAACTGAAAAAGAATAAAGATATCTTACAAACGTTGTTGTGCTTCCAGGTGCGTGACTGAGTACAACTCTGACCCCTACATCAACAGCGTGCTCAGCTGTCCCCCGGCCGAGGGTGTAGCTGAGGTGGCGAACTTGACTTTCTCAGCCGAGGCTACAGCGGACAGAAGTTTCGGCTTTCACAAATGTAACAGGTACTGCCAACCAGGGATATACGAGAATGATCTGAGTCTGACCTACACATCAGCAGCCTTTGGCTCAGACGGGAGCGGTGACAGGATTGTGTACACCGTGTGCGCAGGCTCAGCAGGTATTATTTTTTATCAATAGTAATAGTTAACGCTCGCCTTGCATTCGGTAGGACTTCAATTATTTTAAAATTAGACCACAGCGACTTAATTTAATGGATGACATCCTCTGAAGACCCCCAAACTAGTGCGCGCGGGCGAATAAAAAATTCCAGCCAAAAAGTATTTGGCACCATTGTCTAAATATAGAATATCACATCAGAAATTAACAACCATTAAAAAATCACACAAAAGCTGCACTATATGTTTCTGGATTGACCAAAATTTAATGTTTTAATGTGATAGGTTGTTGAGGTTTTGAAAATTAAATAGATAAATAATTGTTATTTTANGTTATTATATATATATATATATATATATATATATATATATATATATATATATATATATATATATATATATATATATATATTATATATATATATATATACTATTATTTAGCTGCATGATTTTGTCAAAGCTGGGTTTTGTCGAAACCATGGGTTAACTGCAGAAAAGGTTTTTCCGACAAACTAGTGCAGGAACCTTTGCCACAACACTGGCCAGTCAGGCCTATTCTTGACTTGCCATAATTACGATGCATACACATCTCGTATTAAAATCATTGATGACTTCTCTGTCTTGCTCTCGCTTCAAGGCAACAATGAATTTCCAAAGTACATCAATGGCTTTCAGAGGTCTTCTGCGCATTTTTTTTATCACATTATCTTTTATTTACAGTCCTGTGAACCAGCCTTTTTTTATCAACCAGAACCAAAAAAATTCTCTCCACGGAGCCCTCTCAGACATTGCTTTTTCTAAATAACCGAATTCAATACCAGTATCTCTGTTACCCATCGTGGTGGGAGCCAAATGTGTTTAGCTGGTCAAACACGTATATACGTCTAGACTTAGTATAAAATATAACATTCCTGTTGTCTATGTTCCTTACCTTGACCAGATAACAGCGGCTGTGCCCAGATTCGGAACAAACTATCAGGGGGAGGTTACACCTGTTCCTGTCGACCGGGCTTTGTGCTAATGGAGGATGGCCATGGCTGTGAAGGTAGGGAACTGTTGCCTTGACATTTTCCTTCCACATCTGTATGTATGTATATGGTATCCCGGGTAGTAGGGCTGCTTAGCAAACAACTTTGAATCCCTGATACCCTGAAACCAAAATGCAGAACTATGAATACGTAATGCAAAAAGCATTTCTCATAATACAATCAATCAAAGGTGCAACCGATATTTGTTCAAGTTAATGTCCATGTTATGGAACCTTTGCCACAGCATACTGTGTATGAATGAAAGTTCGTCTGTTCTGGTAGAATCAGTAGTTGTAACTATTATGGATTATGATATCATGTAAAAGAAATATAAGAAAGCCATTAAAAGTTCATGTATAATAAACCAAAAATTGGAACCTGAAATTAGACCTTAAAATTTTTTTTAAAAATTAGAACAGCCATAACCAAAGTATATAAACTAATGTTATTATTATCTTTAACCACTGAAGGCAACCATTATGCACTTGACTGTGTTAATTTGAGGATTTTCAGCCAATAACATTTCTCATTTTTTAATCCCTGCAGAAGATGAGTGTGCAACAGACAACGGTGGATGTGCCCAAACCTGCACCAAAGTCCCAGGAAGTTACACCTGTTCCTGTCAACAGGGCTTCGTGTTGATGGCAGATGCCCATGGTTGTAAAGGTATTGTTTAATTGTATCATGATTGATAGGTGATCATGATTGATTATACAAGTATATAGATAAAAGAATATTAAACACTCTCAGTGCAGGTGAAATTGGAGCTGTGCAGGTATTTCTGATGTCTACCTGCACCTAACCTGCACTGGTCCATGTACTGGGTATATACAGCTTAGTGCAGGTAAAATTGGAGCTGTGCAGGTATTTCTGATGTCTACCTGCACCTAACCTGCACTGGTCCATGTGGATTGCTATTTGTTGCATTGACTGTTACCAACTACAAAGTATAAAAGAACTAATGGTAATGTTTTTTGAATGTAGCTTTAGAATGATCCATACTTCCTCAATCCTGAGTTGTACAGGTAAAAGTTAGGTAACACTTGAAGGTGTTTCAGATCCTGAAGTTGCCTTAAAGTTTGTATTATCGTCTTTGCAGCTGACGAATGTGCGACAGAGAACGGCCGGTGTGACCAGATCTGCACCAAAATCCCCCGAGGCTACAGGTGCTTCTGCCGACAAGGCTTCGTGCTGATGGAAGACGCCCACGGCTGTCGAGGTAAAAAAGTGTCGTTTTGTGTGTTTGCCGCACAGGCGTATATTTACACAGTGTAAATACGCAAAGCCCTTCTTGTTTGACTTAAACAGAAACACAATGTCATGTAAAGGTCTTCTTCACATCAGTTCTGAGTTAATATTTATGGTTGAAAATCATTTATTAGCAGCATATTCTTTCAAGTGACTTTGACGTAATATCATGCATTTCTAACTAACTACACTTTTCTCTGTAATTAGCCCAATTCTAATACCAGCTTTACCTGGGAAAGTTTTGAAATGCGGGTGTAATTAGAATTTTGATGCAGCATGTAAAATGAAAGTTTAGTAAAAGTAACATGACGTTAATTCTTGTTGTGTTAATACTGATTTCTTTGTTTCACAGTGTGCGGCCACTGCCTGGGCGGGGACGTGAACTGTGACCCAGTGTCGGGTGTCTGCTCGGCTGGCTGCCGGGATGGATGGAAAACACAGCTTTGTGATAAAGGTATCGTATACACCAATAACAGTTGACTGACATGCCTGTAATTCAAACATATCTGATCAATGAAGTTATAATGAGGTTATAATCACATGTTTGTTGCTCTATTTACATCTGTATTTAAGTGAGCATTTTTTAACTCCTGCTTTGATCCTTTTTCTTGCAGCTGTGGATTCACCAATGGACCTGGCCATAACTGACATCACGGACGAAGGTTTCCAGGTCACCTGGTCTCCATCCCCTGACCCTGACCTTCAGGGGTACTGTGTGGTGGTCTCCAACCTGGACATGACGACAGCTGTCAATCAGAGCACTGACGAGGCGTGGTTTCCGGTGGTCGGCCTGTTCCCGGAGACTACTTACATCATCAGGGTGACTGCTCTGTTCTCTTCAGGTGGTTGGAGGTCACAGAGCGAGGCGGCAATGATACCGGCAACCACAGGTAGGGAGAGTCTAGCTGCGGTTGACTGTTGATATATATCCAAAGATAAAACTTATTCTGACTCTTTATTGATACCAGAACATTGCCAGGTTGTGCATTGCTGGTTATGATGATTAAACATTTGTAAGCAAAGTTAGTTTTTTTTTTTTAATGCGTGCATTCTTTTACATGAGGAACTGTCAACCATAACTATGTAACTAATCAAAGGGTTCATCCTGGTTGTATTTAAAACCTATGGGAAAAATACTCGATTTAATGTACTATGTTTACTCCACATGCTTATCCCATATTATTTTGTCTTCCAAAAAGGAAATATTGGATTAAGTCCAGATACATGCTAAAACCTTAAAATTAGATTTGTATCAGAGTGCATGTACAGATACAGTCTCTTGTTTTTACCAGTAACG